CACACACACACACACTGGTTTCCATTTTTTGTAGGGACTCTCCATAGGCGTAATGGTTTTTATACTGTACAAACCGTATTTTCTATCGACCTACACCTAAACCTAGCCCTCACAGGAAACTTTCTGCTATTTTAGATTTACAATACGTGATGTTTTATTAACAAAGTTTGGGAGGAGCACGTTCAGATAATTAACCTAATTAACACGAGAGGAGCACAATCAGTAATCAACCCAATTAACAAGATAAGAGATGTGTGTATATATACACAGCAGACTTACCTCTGTTCTTGACAGTTTTCCAGCATCCCTCCGCCACCCCTTCCCCGCACTTACAACTATTTCTGTCCTAACCTGTGGGGGAGCGCTCTGTGTTCGGGCAAATACCGAGCTAGGAGCCCTCTCTCCGGACAAGGGGGGAGTGCTCCGGGTTCGGGAAGAATTACCAAGCTCTGAGCCCTCTCCCCGGACAGCACGCCAAACACGCATAACCTTTACTCTGTTTATTATATGTAAGTGTGAACTCCATTCTGTGTGATTTATAAGCTTGTTTCCTCATGGAGACCAAAAAAATGTCCCCACAAGGTCAAAATTTACTGGTATTACTATACTTGTAGGGACATTTGGTCCCCATTAGACTTGTGGAGGTATTCGGTAATGCGATATATCACGGTAATGAATATGCACGATATTGTTATCGTGGGCACTTCTAAATACCGTGAATAATTATATATTACAAATTATTCCTAATTTTGAATGCATTTTAAGAATACTTTTCCCATCAACTGGTCAAAATGCACAAACTAATGAGGTCTTATTGTAAAGTGATACCTATTGGTCTTTATAGTTCTTTTGTACTTTAATCTGTGTAAAACTTTTAAATTTATACATTTTTCTGTATTGCTTTATTGCATTTAAATGTTCAGTTATTGTATGTATTGTATAGTATGTATGTTATTAAACCTGTTATACTGTATTATGACAGCACTTTTTTAAACTAAATTTCAATATCATGATAATACCGCATACCGTGATAAAAGCATTATTAATTAATCGCAACATGAAAATTTGATACCGGCATATCCCTAGTCCCCATAATGTGATGAATACCAGGTACACACACACACACTCATAGAATATTCAAGAATATTTTTTTTCTTCATAAAAGATTACATACAACAAAGAAAGCATGTCACAATAGCAATAATGATTATAAAATCCGATTTAATAATTCAACAACAGGTTTTGACAAATGATAATGATGAAATGTAAAGATTTGATTTATGGAGTTATTTATAACTCCATAAAAATTGAATCTTTATCATTTGTCATAACCTATAATTATTTTAAAATATTCAGAGTTTATAGTTATTATTGTCATTGTGACAGCCACACTTCGTTGTATGTAATTTTTACAAATAAGTTTGTTTCAGATGTATTTACTTGACTGTCATTTGTCAATCAATATTCATATTGATCAAACTAAACGGATAAGATGAATATAAAAAAAATTCCAAGAAAAAAATTATTTTATACATAGTATAAAAATCTAAAGACAGCTGGAACAGGTGGGTTATTGCCACAGGAAGTGGTTCATCTTTCCCAAACAGGGGGGAAACATGACACATGCTTTTCAATGATTTGTAACAACTATATTAGCAATTGTTTCCATTTATTTCTCTTAATAAAAAGTGGATGATGCATCATGCATGTGAAATTCATCTCTAAACATGTTACGATTTATCATTAACTGCACATTGCTCTTAAGGACACATCCTAGCCTCCCCTTTTTTTCACCATACATGGATCTGAGAGAATCATACTGTCAATGAAGTGGAAATGAACAGAATTAAATGTGTATTGAGCTCCTTTATTCTGAGGTACAGTGTGAAGTGTACAGAGTCCCGCATGATTAATATGAAAATATTGATGTGAACATTTAGAAATTACAGACGCCATTACACAGCATCAGACTCCCTGTTTGAAGTGGCCACTTGAGAGCTCCAATCTCCAGCATTGTTATAGATGGATGGCGTGGAGATGATTATTATGGAGAGTTACCATCTGTTATAAAGCGCCATCAGTTTAACTTTAGAAACTGTCTGCGGCATGACAGCTTCCACAGTAAATGCAGGATGGCTGATTTTCATTTCCATCTTTGCAGATGCTTTCTTTAACAAAGCAACCTAAAAGGCATGAAGGGCAAAAATAAAAGTCAAACCACAAATCTTCATCAACATAGCATTTTGCTTATTTGGCATTTGAGGGTTGGTTTTAAGAGGGTGAACACAGCGGTTGATGCATCTCTGTCAGCGGGACCTTTAACTTTGAGCACCACGTATGTGTATTGCTGGTATGTGTGTGGAATTTTAATGCACTGAGTTTTAATGCAAATCAGTTCCCCACAAAGACCGGATCCCAGCCATGACAGAGAAATAAAAGATGCCACTTCTGTATAAGACAATCACCTCCCTGCTGTTGACAGTGTCACAATGGCTTTGTGCACCAAGAGCCCTCCACCAGCCAAACAACACTGTCAACACAATGATTTCACAGCATTTCCACTCAGTTCATTTTTGTGTAGCATTTCCTTTTTAATGAAAGCTATCTACTAGATATGGTGCATGAAATGTGCACTGTGTGGAAGAGGCAAAAATTGCTTGCATGGACTGGATTAATGTTGTATTGATTGGTGAATTTACAAAGCAATTATTAAGTATAGCAAAATCACTGCCCTGAATTGAGCAAATCCCATCTACACTGGTAAAAGGTATTGATTGTGATTATCATAGCTGTGAAGAGAAAGACAAAGCACAAAGAGAGGACGTATGTAATGCACAATACAAGAAATGCAAAATTTGTGAATTATTATTTCAATTTTTTTTCCATACAATGTGACAATGTTCGTCAAACTGTAAAAATGATTATATAAAGCCACCATAAAAGTGGTTTCATATAAGACTTCTGAAGTCATATGTCACCTTTGTTTAAGGAATGAGTTGTTATTCACAGAAAATGTTCCCTTCTGCCAAAGCTCTGAAATCTTATCTGAATTTGCATTCAGATTAAAAAGTGCACCAGGTTTGACGTCCTTGACACCAAATACCATTGTGTTGTAGCCGAATGTGACAACCAAGTTTGAATATACAGAATGGAGAATGAAATCTGTGCTGCAGAGAACTGGAAATATTTTAAATTTGAGTATTTTCTTCACACAGAACTATGGAGTGATTTAAAAAGACTTTGAAACTATTACACGAGTTATAAGAACAACATTCTTTTTGAGCATTTTTTTTTTACACTGAATGGCAAAGAGCAGTGTAAAGATTCTTCAAAACTTAATCTTTTGTGTTAAGGTGCAATCACATTTACTGTTATTTAATGGACTTTCAAGGCCAGAATCCAGTCATTTTAGTAAGAATCCATGCAAACAGGAATTTTTTATTAGGGTGAAAGATTTCACCATGTAGGGTTTGAAAACAGGTCCAAGTTGCTCACGTGAACTTGTGCCACTGACCAACAGAAAGCTGCTTGGTTTGGAAGTGAATTCATACATCGTTACACTATTGACATGACAACAGACAAAGTTGCCTATGAAATTCTACAGAAATGTATGTGTTAATGTGACTTTACACTTGAAAAAAATAGTAAGCGTCTAGTGTTGTGTAAATAATGCTAGCTACTGTTTGCAGCAGGTATATGTTAGATGCTCTTCAAACAAAGTGTAAATGTAAGTAATATTCTCTGTGGTACTAAAGAAAAAATATCTGCGCAATAGTGGGCGGAGTAAGTGAAAATAGCCTTCGCAAACAAAGTTGGCTATTTGAAATTAGTGTAAATAACCACTGCTGAAAAGAAAAAGTAACATCATCCATGTTTATAACCGAACTTAAAACAGAATGAGGGTCGATTTCAGTTGAACTATCGCTTTAAGAACACACAGATGCTCTGTTTATGTTAATAAGCAAAAGCACCTACCATGAGTTCTTTGATGTAGTTCAGGATTCAGGTCAAAAGATGCAGCGCCTCTGCTCTCTCTTTCTGTCTGTTCTTATTAGCTGTGAAAAGAAACACAACCACAGGTCATGGCACATATTTAATCACACCAAGCAAACAGCAAAGCAAATTCATGTCCACCAAAGCACAATAAAACATGCAAGATGGAGGAAAAATAGCATTCCTCCACACTGAAGACTCAAAGGAAAGCTTGGCACAGGGCAGGTAGTAAGTATGAATCTTGGAGTGCGACGAGATTGAGGATTCATTATTGATGACATTCCCTGTGGTGCACTACTCTGAAACAGCATGTGCGTGAATTTTTCACTTTGCAGCTTGAGTAAAGAAATGAAATGGGACAGAATGAGCATCACAGTAGCTTTAATCAATCTAAACCCGCGACTGAAGAAGGTGAAATATTAATGGCTGCCGTTACTTTTCAGATCCGTTGCTTGGTTAATTGCTCTTTATTGTTTGACGCCAGACTGATTGCATTTTGCCTGTTATGCTCGGTGCTACTAATCTTGATTAGTGTCGGAGGTCATGAATAATTTATTGGAAACAGCATTCCTAGCTAATTACCTGTAGCCGATTCTCACTGTTGGAGAGGATCACCAACTGTGTGCAGCTAACAAGCCTAAATGCTTTAACTTTCTGCTATTCATATTGTTTTGCCACAAGTGTCTCCTAGTTGCAATGTGCTACTAGCCAATTTAAATTGAGATGTTCCTGGCACACTCTTAAAAATAAAGGGTCTTTCTTTTCTTCGGTGGTTCCATGAAGATCCTTTAACATGCATGGAACGTTCCATTGCACAAAAGTGGAAAAGGGCACTTTAGAATATTCTTCACACTAAGAAAAAATGGTTCCTTTAAGAACTGTACATTGAAAGGTTCTTTGGCGAACCCCAAATGGTTCTTATGGCATTGCTGTAAAAATCCATTTTGGAACCAAAAGCATTATTCATGATAGCACTGAAAGCTTTGTGAAAACTGCAGCAGATTTTTCCTAAATAAGGGTAGATTAATGTAGGGAGAAGGATAACATAAAAGAGGTAGAATAAAATCCAGGATGCTCATGTTTTAACTTAAGTAAACACAATGAAAACATTTCTTGAGAAGTGTTTTGTAGACAAATTCTGTGTTTCAGCTGTGACCTGGCAGACCAGAATTCCCTTGTTCTCCAAGCACGCTACACTCCCTTCAAAGATACATGTACAGAATAGCATTAGTTTATACAACAATTGTTTATAGCGACACACAGGAGGAGAAAGTAAAGCTGCAAGAGAGTACAACAGTCCATTTCCAGGATATTTAAGGGTTTTCCAGTGAAATACAATGCCTACAATCGTGGAGCAAGATTACATTTACAAAGACAGCACTCTAAAGCAAAAACAAAAAAAACTATTTTATTAACCTCTTTTGCTCCCAAATCAATGGCATTCAATGGCATTTAAGATCGACCACAGCGTACACTGATTGGTCATTCCCTGGTAAATTGATTTGTTTTTTCTGACCTTACAGTCTGAGGGGACCGTGCGCTCTTTAATTGAGTTCTCTACACTTGCAAACATTGTTTCCTCCATCTAGAATCAACAAGGGGTTTGAACAAAAGAGCTCAAAGGGCATCTGCATTATGTTTATTTGTGTCTATGCTAAAGGTCCCGTTTCGGTCTGCGGTACATTTGAACAATGCAGGATGACTTAAAGTTCAATGCTAATAGATGACCACAGAGGGTTGGCAATAAAGGATGTGCGTGTTGTTATTTGTCATTATACACTTTCACTGCCCTACCTCTTCCCCTCTCTGTTCATGATCATGCTATGCTATTCACATACACGATGAGTGACACATCCTACAGGACGTCTGTCCCTCTGGAAGGATGTGATGTGATACGGTAAAACAGTTTGTGATACGGTAAAACAGTAATATTATGAAATATTATTTCAATTTAAAATAACTACTTTTTCAAAAATAACACAAATTTTTCTCAGAAGCACCCATTGTACTTATAAAGAACCTTAAAAACACCTGGGGAGTGAATGATAAAACTATTATAAATGTAAAGCACTTACTAGACTATGGAAAGCCAAAAGGGTCAAAAACAATTTTTTATTATTTTGGCCATGCCTGGGGCTGAGACTATAGGTTAGAGGGGTCTTTTTAGGTTTAGTTCCAGCAGTAATTTTGAGTGATCTACTTCATAAACAATGACACACCACAGATGTAATGTTTCAATACTTAATACTTCAAGTGTATCATATTCCAATATTTTTTCAAAGAATAGGCATTCGCAGATGTCTGGACTGAGCCCCAAATACTCCCTGACACTCGATATCGTCTATATTGATAAAACACATCAACTCAGCACATATTTAAGCAACTCCTCTGCTTCAGACACTTGATCGATACATCTGATTGAAATGTGGCAGAAACCGTCCAGGTGTCCTCTGACCTTGTGGCAGGTGTCTGACAGGGGCTTTAAATGCAATCCCTTGAGAAAAAGGAGGCTGTCAAAGTGTTGAAAGTCATATGGTACAGCTCCTGGCACAACACTCTGTGCTGTGATAATGACCAGCTCTGTACACACTTACTTAGTGTTTTCTGCAGTCTGTTCTTGTCTTTCATCAAAACCTCCCTCTCCCTTTTAAGGCCCCAAGGCCGAACAGACCTTAGTCTCTGGGGAGAGACAATGTTCAGGGCATCAAAACAAGCCTTTGAAGTCAAGCGATTAAACCTGTTGGAATGGGCCAAAAGGGCTTAAAGGTGTGGGGGAGTCAGCTTCTCCAATTAGGCACAAGAAAGGTTGTTAACATGCAAACCAAGCGGTCCATGAACCACTGTTTTCTCTCAGAATGGGTTATGCAAACAACAGACATGATTAATGATCTGATCTTGTCAATAATGAGCTAATGATTGACTACATTGATTCATTAAGATGAAAGATATTTGATGAATATAAAACTCTCATCCTATCAATAGAGAGTAGTTTAGATTAAAATGGTGTAAAATGACCATAAAAACCATTTTTGCACTGTTACAAATTGAGTTATACTACTCATTTGCTGCATCAGTTGTTATAAAATAAATATCATGGCTGGATTAAAGATAAATAAAAAATGGGGCAACCACAGGATTAGTAATTTCCCTATTTGCACCATTTAGTCGCTGCAAGATGTAAAATCTGTTGTGGAAAGCCACATTAAAAAAAAAAAATTTGATGTTTAATGTAGTTATGAGGAAAAGGATTTTGGACCAATAAGATTTCACAGTGGGTGGGACACCTTACCATATATGGTGAAAAACTGTAAATGGTTGAACATTGCATTATATGTCATTTTACTGTAAAATAATGTGAAATAATGTGGCACATATGATTATATTTTAAATAATTTTGTTTTTTATTTATTATTACCAGTAGTGTATATCAACATTTTCTGTTAATTATTGCTTATAGCATTATTTAGTTTTAGTGTCATGTTTCTTACCCTGATGGTGTGTTGTTTTTATGTGTTTGACTATTCTATATACACTACGAAAAATATATAAAAAAGCTATATAGAGTGCACATTAGTACCTTATAAGTACATATTAGTACCGAAAGTGAACCTTTGTACCTTTTTTTCGGAGGGTGTATTTGTTGAGTTTTGAGAATAGGCCACTTACGATGATTATTCTGGTGGTTATCAGTAGATTTTTTGGTACAAAGCAGATTTGGTCATTCAAGTAGATAGGTATATTAACATTATATAACTTGATAAAATACACAGTTATATATGCTCATCTCATTTTTTATGGTGAATTTCTTGTAAATTTATCAGGATATTGTTAAGCAACCGACAATTTTAATCACTGTCTTCCAAATTTATTCAGCTCTGCGTCAGACAAGTTTCTTAAGTATGTGCCAACATCTGTTGTCAATTTCAGGTTCTTGTTAAAAGATGTGCCAAACATCATAGCTGTCGTGGATGTCGTGTCTACTGTACTTTTATTCCATCTTTTTTCATTATCATTTCAAGTCAAAACAATACATGTTCATATAGTCAAAAGCTGCAATATGTGTCTTTGGTAAGATGTAGTGCAGTGTTCATCCTTCTCTTATTTTATCCTTAGGGTGTACATTGTTTATTTAGTTGTGCTGACACAACCTGTCGTAAAAATTCAAAGCACAATCCGTCGGACAGGAAGCACTTGGTTCCCTGAGTCTTTCTTAATTAAAACCAGAGGAAGAACTATTTAGTCCCTTACACAAATACAGGACTTTCCTCTAGCCAGTTCATATTCCCAAAGCAATTGGTTTGAAAAATTAGCAGATTTTGCTGTTTGGTCTCGGGAACAGCAGGGGATTTGGAGGACTAACCAAGCTGCATGCTGTGTCAACACCAAACATTCTCTGCTGTCAGTGTAATCCCATTCACCATGGGAAAACAGCATGGCACTTCACCACAACAGAATGAGAGTGGGACATGGCCAAAAAGGGGCAACAGGATCTCAAATGAAATCATGGGTTGAAGGTTCCCTTTGTAACTTTGAAATTTGAAATGGACTGATTTTAGTTCAAATTAAAAAGTACAAATGAACTTTGGCACAGAAATTATAATGTACAGCACGAAAAAAGTAGACATTCATGCTGAGTTCTGGTAAAGTTTACATTTAATAGTAATTAACCTCCTTTTATGGTTTTTTAATGAAAATTATAAGTTGGCACCCATTTTTATTAAAAACTATTTTCTTAAGTATTACCTATAAATACTGAAAAACTGGAAAACTGGAAATTACCTGGTAGTAGTAATTCATATTTTTTACTTTAAATATCATAGATGCAGTATATTACAGTAATATATATACATAGGCCTAATGCAATGCTAAACTATTTAAAAGTGTAAAATATTTTTTTATATATTTTTGAAAGATGCTGTTATGCTCACTAAGGCTGCGTTTAATTGATCAAAATACATAAAAAATGGTAACACTGAGAAATATTATTACAATTTCAAATAAAATTTCTATTTTAATATATTTAATATGTAATTTATCTCTGTGATGGCAAAGCTGAATTTTC